GCTCTAAGTGAGAGAGGGATCGGTGTACCAGGTAGATGACAGCGTCATCCACCCCAATTCCAGAACAGTAGGCAAAGAACTTTGGCTCCTCATGTGTTGTTTATTTGATGTTTATTGTACACTGTACTATTTTTATTCTTTATCACACTGTTGTAACAATAATTTCCCCCATGAGGTCAATAAAGTATCTATATATCTATCTAATATAATAAGAAATTAAAATGAGAGATTTCAAAACCTAGGACAGCAACCAAGGCGTTCTCATTAAATGTTCCATTAATATCCAATGAATCTAATCTAATGTAATATACAATATATATTTAGACTCAGACTTACTCATTACTGCTGGTTGTTTCTGAGGACTGTCTCTTGAAAGCTGACATGCCAAACCACATCATCCACTCCAAAATAGTTTTGCCTGGAAACCGAAAACATAACTATAATAACTATGTTTTAAAGTCAGGGCACATGCCTTTTTATGCTTAAATACGTTTGTTACATTTAACTGCAAGGCATGGCATGAATAAATGTACAGATTTAGCCTCTTAAATATTTTAATGTTCCTTCAAACAGAGGCCTGCAGATTCAGTATTAAGGATCAGTGAAAACCTCATGTTTTTCCTCTATAAACCTCTCATTCTCTCAACACTCAGCAGCACTCATCTGCTACATCTATTTATGGACATGTGACCTTCTTGAGAATTATACTTTGTAGGCAAAAACAAGGAACTGCAACAGGCCACATGTTAAGAGAGGGAGAGAAAAAGAAGGGAAAGATGCAGACAGACTACACACAGAGGTAAATGAAGAAGTGCTGACAGTGACATATGAGAGGACCATAGAGTGACTTACAGGGATAATCTATAGCGAGATTAAGACAGAAATAGAATGAGAGTGCAGCAGAAACAGGGTCACACATGAAGGGTGAAATAGGATACAGGACAGAGAGCAAGAGAACGGATAAACAGATGTGAAATTCTGAGTTCTGCGTGTGAGGGAAACACTGAAAACTGAAGACACCATGCTGTTGGCACGGGCACATAAGTTAAACTCTACAAAGTAATAGGATGACAGCTTCCTTGCAAAGGAAACAGACTGGCAGCACTTTGCAATCAGTCGGAGTCAGTTTGGACTGATGAGTGTAAACTGTCTGCGATGCAGCTCAGCTAACGTAGTTGTATTCTGGTTATATCTGTGTGCAAAAGCATGGTTGCCAAGCACTCCTGTCATTTTGCATTTAAATATCTGTCTTGCAGCAACTACCTCACTTTTTGCAGATTAATTTTTGAAATTAGGTCTCAAAAATGAAGGTCTGACTGGACTCTGAATGTAAGTAATTAATGTGAATTAATGCCTAATGTGAATTTTTGCTGAGAGTTCATCAACATATTAGCAAAAATAGACTGATAAGAGACTGACTGTATCTTATTGCCTTTTCATCATGGTCTTGATGCATCAAAGTCACCAAAGGTTGCAGCTGACTGCGAGTGTTTGCATATCTGATCACTGTTTTTAAAGCAACCAATTCAAGGGCAGTGATACGAAAAAGGTTCAGAGTCAAGCGATGCTTCTTCAGCAGTTTTATCGTAAGTTTCTTGGTGAGATTGTAACAATACAGTGTTACATATGAAACATATGAACAGAAGAGGAGAATCACACACAGTCCAAAAAGCAGAGTTAACTGACAGGCAAAAACAAAAGTCACCACAGATTTACAGGATCTAACAAAATTACAATACCATAAAATCAGCCAACATGACTCTTCAGGCTTTTTCAAAAAGAGCGATTCATTATTCTCGGTTTTAGTCTGACGTTTTTGCAGTATTGATTAAATGGGGTGCATTGCATTCGAATCCCTGTCAGCAACGTCCATCTGAAGAGTCATCAAACAAGGAACGCTGACTTCTATTAACTTACACTGAGCTCCAGTGGGTGTAAAGAAATTGAATTAGCTCTGTCCAGGGTGTACCTCTCCTCTTGCCCTGTTGCAACTGGGATAGGCTTTAGCCTCCACACTATGTAGAATGACAGAAGAACAGATGGAAGAAACATGGATTTGAGTCCCCAGGTCTGATTTGACCTTGTGTCAGTCAAAGATGCTGTAGATCAGCAGTTCCCATCCCCCGGGCCACGGACCGGAGTTGTTTGTTACCCGGCAGCAGGAGTTGAGGCTCAGGTGTGAAATTTATGGTTTTCAGGGTTTTTATCGTTTATTATTGTTAACTCAGTTTCCCTGGGCCTTTTTGCGTGTGTTTTTGGTACCGGTGTTGTGCCAAAAAGTGATTTTCTGTTAAAAACTGATTTCTGGTATTTGCCAAAAACTGATTGCTTGTATTTAAACTGCTATAAATAACTTGTTGGTCTATAATATGTGAAACATATGTCAAATGTATCCCTCATGAATGATATCACATCATCTTGAGCAACAAACAACATTCCTGTAACAAGGTAGAAGCCGCAATCAGTTTTTGGCAGTGGCCTTTATGTATCCTTTATTTATGCAGTTAAAAAAATTATTGTTGACTTTAAAATATTCTCTTTTAAGCGTAATCTGGCCAAGAGGACAGCTGAAATTGCAACAAAGGCAAAAATAGTTCTGTAAAGATATTTTAAGTGGACAAAAGGGAGCTGATTGATTATAATGTAAGTACAATAACACAGTTACAAAGATACTTGAGAAACAGGTAATTTTTAAATTTTATATATAACCCATTTGTAATACCCGTTCACCAAAGTCTATTTAGCAACATACATAACGATATTACACATAAAAAACACACGGAAACATTGGAAATCAGTTTTTGGCAGGCAATCACTTTTTGGCACAACACCGGCACTGGTTTTATTTTGTTGTATTTATCCGTGACACCTTAAAGACCAGTCCGTGAAAATATTGTCGGACACAAACCGTCCATGGCCCAAAAAAGGTTGGGGACCACTGCTGTAGATAGTAGATAGTACCAAAGACAAATGCTGTTTTAGATAATAAAGCGAAATAACAATTTGTATTATTGTATAAAACCAGATAAATCCTAAATATTAAAAAATCATTAAAATATTCTTTAAATTAGTGAGAGTTTAGCTAATAATGAGCTGGCTAGCTAGCAAATAAGCTAGCGCTTTGATTTAAGCTACCACAGGCTAAGTTGTGTTAGCACTGCAAGTAGGTAATGTATAAAACCAATATCCTGATACTCTGTAGGACTGCAGCTAACTGTACTTTAGTTCTTAAGCGAAGAAAGACCACATTCATTTGACCATGATGCTAAAGCTAATACAGCTTCTTAAGGATTTAAAAGATAACAAAAACATGTTTTCTAAAAAAAAAAAAAAAAAAAAAGAACCTAATTCACTTAAAACAGTAAATCAAATAATGAACTGTGATGATAAACGAACTTGTTTAATTTTGGCTTGTTCAAGCTGTCCATCGATGTTTGTGTGTTCTTATGGATATATATGAATGATATATGCTTCAAAGTGAATTCGATATTTATTATTTTCCACATACAGACGTTTTGCAGATAAACAATAATACCAGACTAAATATCAAAATGCAAAGGCAACCCTTCAAGAGCAAACATGGGTTATTAAAAATGACACAAATCAACTGCAAAAAAGTACAAATATATTAGAAAACACACTGGAGATATAGAGAAAAGGGAACGCAAGCATATATTTGCAACTCTTCGACCTGGAAAAATGCACATTTTGCAGTTTTAAATGGTTAAATCTGAACGTTTGTTAAGCGATGTTACATTTTCTAGTAAATGACATAAACTGCTGAATAATTTCATTAACAGTGATATATATGTTTGGTTGATGACAGTGAAAACAACCTAACTATAGCTTCATTTTCTTTTCTATTCATTTGAAACCATGTTAGTAAATCTGCTAACAGAAATGCAGACACATTTTTCTTTTTTCCACAATGTGTTTTTCTGCTCATTAGTCTAGTTCAGTCAATCCAATTGTATGACACTGACTAAATTAGCATTCTTACAATAACCCACTGATGGACAAAGCTGTCGATGTTAATGTATTAAAATTTAAAGGGTGAACAATTCCTTTTACATTTTATGTCCTGGGATACCGCTCCATCAATCCTGAACGTAGTGGTTTCCCCAGCTGTGGCTGAGGCGCACCTGTGGATGCCATTTATGGAGATTAAAAACAAATAAACAAACAAACAAAAGAAGTCACAGATTAGCCCATATAAGGAGAATGAACAGAGCTCTTCCTGATGTTTTACAGTAATGTCATTTGATTCACTTGTGACAGCTGTTCGATCCTGCTGTTAGAACTGTGCAAAAGTCTCGAGCCGGCCCTCATTTTTTTATATTTTGGTAGGAATATGGGTGTAGCAATTTCTTGAAAGGTGCACACATACATGGAAATACATTAACTAAGATGATCCCACAGTGCTTCAGGAATGTTGAAGTCTGGGCTCTGGGGAGGCCAATCCACGACTGTGTGTTTTTCTAATCATTTCTAATTTTATGGCATTGACAGTGTGTTTGGATCATTGTCATGCTCAAACATGAAAAGGTCAGTTGCCAAGCAGCGTTTTCCAGATGGTCTTGCACGGTGGGCCCATTTCTCCTGGTCTCTGCTGTGCCTGCTGACAGTGAGTTACACCAGAAATGTTACATTTGGATTCATTGGTCAATAAGACCTGTCTCTACTGATTTTTATTACAGCTTTTGTGTAATTTGGCACATTTTAGTCCCTGTTTCCTTTCTTTAGGAAGCTTCTTGACAGCTGCCTTTCCACTGAAACCATTTCTGATGAGGCTTTGGCAAACAGTCGGTGGATCAACTGAAAATCGATTTTGCCTATTTCTTAAGCAAATGACTTTCAGATATCTGCTGTAGAGCTTTTAAGGCCTGCCACTTCTCCTGTCCTCTATTCATCCATTTGCCTCATATTTTTTAAGGGCAGACTGCACACCATGCTGAAATAGCACTTTATTTTATTGCTATGAAATGACTAGGACTATTTTATAACTATTTGTGGCTGAAGACTTTTGCACCGTTCGTAAAATCTGTATGAAAGATCACCAAAACATGGCACACCTCAGGCAGAAGCTCTCTGGATTTGCACAGTGTTCAGATTCAGTCTGTGAATAATTTAATCAGGACATCAGACTGTCAGCTTGGAGGGAACGCCGCTCTTAAATGCTCGCTGATCTGATTTTTCTACATATGGCATCCAGATACATTAATAGAATCACACAAGAGTAGGCTACAGTGGTAAAATATGCTAAGTGTGCTACTATATCAAACTGACATACATCACAGTTGGGATGTTGGATGGTTTCTTGTGACACAGAGGCTTCATTGCTTAAACACTGATTTATGTACAGTGTGTTCCTTCACCCACAGCCTACATGGGAGCTTCCTCAGTGCAAAGCAAGCTGCCTCTCTGTGTGCAGGAAATATTAAATATGGCTTTCTACAGTGTCTCATACTGCCAGTTTCACCAGTGACTCGAATAATCCAGGCTTAAGGGTTCAGCAGCACAAAGGCCTCTCCATCACCTACACAGGGTTCACAGTTTTCTCTCCTGCATTTTCAGAGACTGGAGGCAGTGAAGCTTCATCTAAGGCAGCTAGAAGGCCTCTAGCTTGAGAAATACCTATTAGAGCATTGATGCTGCATAACAGGAGAGAGCCGGGCAGCTATTTTAAAGACTTGATGTTTTTGAATTTACATCCAGTGGCAAAGCTGGCTTAGGCCACTGGGACAACATGGAGAAGATACATTTACATGAGGAGTGGATGAGAAACAAGAGCCTTGCCTCCCCTTTGTAGGAGAGTGCCTTTCACCTGCATAAGGGTAAAAGGATCTCACAGCTTCTAAATCAACAGCTGACATGCTCTCTGGCAACCTATAAATGGCCCATTTGCAGGAAACCTTCTCGTCAAGGTCTTCCTCTGTAGATCCTGCAATCTGTCATCTTCTCCATTCATTTAAATCTCACAATGATTTTAAGTCCTTCATTTGAGGGCTTTTGATATCAGGCAACATAAATGTAAGGAGGGGGGAGACGATAAAAGTCTAATATTTCTCAACAAAAGAAGAATCTGTTGAATGCTTTTTCAAATCCTTGAAACATCTTTGCTGTTTTTTCCTCGGGTCATTAAAACTAATTTAGAGCCAGCTGTTTAGCTTTTAAGGCGGTAGAAATGGTGCAATCACAACAAGGGTGAAATGTGACAAATATGAAGCTCTGACAGCAAAAAACGGCCAGTAAAATAAGCTGCTGCGGTTAATAATGACCTTGGAAAACACCGAGCTAGGGCTGGTTTCAGATTACTCAGATTGTGTATATATGTGCAAATAAGTGGAAGAATTTCTAAACTATACTGTAGTTGAAAAGGCAGCTTCATCTTATTTCTGAATTGTTAACAGATGCATCACTCCCAGGATGTTGGTGATTTTTCAGTCCTTTGCACAAGCTTTAAGCCCCTCTACCGTCCACCTCGTAGTGTCAGCTTTAACACCCCCATCCTTCTCCTAAACTACAAATTTAAACGACTCTTGTCTTTCGCCCTATCATCCCTTTTCCTCTTCCTTCTTCAAATGTAGAGAAACTCTTCTCTCCTCCCTTCCATTATTCCTCCCGCTCCTCCTTTTCCTCAACAAGGACAAGTACTCTTTGTCTCAGTCTCTTGTGTGAGTCGCACTCGCCCATCCTCTCTCTCCACGTCTCTGTAGAGCAGAGACTTCTGAGCCTTCAGACGGCAGGCCAAGGACATAAAGATCGAGTTGACGTTCTGACTTTCTCTCGGGTCCTTTGCCGACGTCTCGAATAGCAGCATGTTGTGGGCGTCGGCGAACTTCAGCGCCATGTTGGAGGGCACCTGGGAAAGCACAAGTGATCGGTTGTTAAGTGGATGATGAATAAACCCTGAAGTCACGCTGCGATCCTCGGCGGTGCACACAAACCTGTATTTGGTCCACAAGGTCGCACTTGTTCCCCACCAGGACTCGAGGTACTGATGCCGACACCCGATGACCATTGCACTCCTGGAAAGTGAAAAGCATATCGCTTTATAAACTTTGGCTGTGTGTCTGTAAAACCATGTAGAGTACAACATAGACATTTGGTCTCTTGGCTGTGAAAACAAAAGAAGGACTTTTTCACATTTAAAATACATCCATGTCATCGCACTGGTGCCAGGATGTGCGAGAAGTCACCGTTCCCACCATTCAGTGTAAATAAATGACACTATAGAATAATATATAAATAATCACGTGTAATTAAAAAACCTCATATATTAAATTATATTGAATAAGATATTACATTATATATAATTTACAAATTATTTTACTGCTGCTAAAAATTACCCACAGTATATCTACTGATAATACTTAGAATATCAGGACTTCACAGTGAGCTGTACTGAAGGGATAACAACAAGCTGGAAAGCATCTGTCATGCAAAACCACTGATATAAATATCGTGTATTAAAAAAAACACCACAATTTTTTTCTAGCAAATGCTGACAGAACTACACTAAATTAAAAAGGGAGTGTTGGCTATAAATTATTTCCATTTTAGACATTCCAACAAATTGCTGTGGCAGGAAAACAGGTTACTGCACATTAACCATGACTCACTTTCACTGAGAGGAGACCCTGGAAGCTGTGCCAGTGAGACACAGAGCTAAACAGAGCTTGTATTAACACTTAGAAATGTCTTTGTCTTTACAACATCCCACAAAATTACTCTACTTGTGTGAATTTTACACTTGCAGTGCCGCCATGCCACTGCCACATTAGTCTTTAAAGGGCTGCAAATGCTAGTCAAAATGAGCTTAAACAGGAGCTTAGGTTCATTTTACTGTCCTTGTTCGGGGGTAGTAGGGGCCACATTGTCAGTAG